TGGGGGTGTGGGGGTGAGTGGCCGGCCCCGGGGGTCCCTTTGCGCGAGCCCACTCCCCACCCCCACACACAGATAGACTCCTGAGTTCAGGTTGTTTGTGAGGGGCGTTCAGAGTGTGCGCGTGTGCGGGGGGGGCGCACATTGGTTTGTCTCGGGTTGGGGGGAGGTGGGAACGACCACCGGACAGTAACGTCGAAGATTTAAAAATTCTGATATTTATGAGATTTCAGTCAGTTAGCAATCTGCCCATTTTGACTGGACGTATGTATTGAGGGCATACAAAATAAAGTACATCTTACTACAACATGCAATTAAATTAGAAATTTAAAGGGCGCTCTTGACCCTCGGCCACCCAGGGGCCGGGCTTGCGGGCAACCGGGTCGTGCCCGAGGGCGGCATGAAAGTTTAATTCTCTGGGGCATCATCGCCAGAGCCCTTTGTCACTCCTGGCAGCAGCCGATGATCCCAGAGGGCCGGGAGCAAAGCTGACAGCACCCATCCTCGCCCATCTGTCACTCCCCAGCCCTGGAGGGCAGGAGGCACCATCCATCATGCCAGGGAGCACGCCCGCCCGCCCGCTCCCCTTGCACAGCAAGCACGCACACAAAGGAAAAAGGATACTGGCAATCAGGGAGACCTAATTATCTGTGCAACAGGAGCCTGGCCGAGGGCATGGGAAGGGAGCAGGAGGCTGGCTCTTAGACTTCTGAACTCCATCCTTGAATACTAAAAAGAAAAGGGGGAATGATGATGATGATGACGGTGACGTTTGTATCCCATGAGCAGTGGAATATTTCTTGCACCCGGTTGACCATTCCAGTGCACTGGTTTTTTAAGCTCAAGGTTGCAGTGTAATGCGCGTTTCTTATAGTGGGAAGTATAGCCTGACTCCCAATGGGAAATTTGCCCCCAGATACTGTAACTTCCAGCTTCTTCCAAAGGAGATGGATGTGTTGACAGCTGAGAGGTTTCATTGTGTCCAGCGGCTTTTGCTGGAACAGGATATGGGGCTTTTGGTTGGTTGGTTTGTTTTGTCTTCCTAACCTTCCAACAGCAAAACACAATAATTTGTTGCACTCTCTGTATGTATTTGTGTAGGTTGCATTTTGTTAAGGAAACAAACATACTCCCTCCTGGTAACTGTTTCTATATCTGCCTCGAAGTGTATCAGCCAGTGGAAACCTGCACCTCCTCCTGTCCCCTCACTGTATCCTGGAGAGGGGTTTCCTCTTTTTGAGCCACCGACAGCGACCACCTCCTTGCGGCAGGCAGTCTCTCGGTGTGCTGAAGGAGGGAGGGCTGGCCCATCAGAGGGAAGCCTCTCAGACTCCCAGGTTGCCAACAGTGTACCGGGGAGGGGAGCAGTAGGCACAGAGCCGACAGGCACCAAGCACCGTCTGGCTCAGCAGGATTATTTGCTGCCTCCCTGACCGGAAAAAAGAGGGTCGCTGGCTCTATGGCAGCCCCTGCTTTGCCTGCTGAATCTCCAGCAGAGTCTCCGGAAAAGGCCAGCCTGCCGTCCAGGAGGCCTCTTTGTTGCTGCCAGTCGGTGTCGACGGTATTGGGCCACATGAATCAAAGGCCATTCCTTGTGTTCCTAAGAAGGAAGGGTTTCTCAGGGCTCCCCCGCCCCACTTTCTGAACATCCAGCAGGGATGGCCCCGGGGCCAAGCTGTGATTTCTGAAAAGGCCGACAGCAGCGTGTGCTGGTAATTAGTAAATTAGTAATTAAATATCTTCTGTGTGCTGGAGGAGCCAATTCGGAAGTTTTAGGTTCCATAATCCTGCAGCATCTGCCACCAGGGTCTGTCACAAATCTTGGCTCTTCCACCCACCCACCCATTTAATGTTTGCTTCTTTGCCTTGGGTTGGATTATGGAGGTCTGCATCTCTCAGACACTGCCCCCCCCCCGTCGCCACCAGGAGACGTGACCCCTGCACAAGGGTTCCCAGGACTCGGCAGCCACGATTAATGTCCCTTTTCCTCTTGGGGGGGGCTGTTTGGTCCCTTGTCTGGAACCGTAACATCCATTTTTGTCTTCATCACCAAGATGGCAGCAAGGGTGGGAAGGAACCAAGCCTCACCACGGCAAAACACCAACACTTTTTGACGAGGAAGGGCCATGGCATCCCCCCCCCACACACACACGCATATCCAACCTTGTCTGTTCCTTCTAAGTTTAACAGCAGGTCTCATGGTGGTTGGAGCCGACGGAATGGAATTCCCCAACGATGTCTGGGTCGTCAACGCTGGGGCTGTTTTCTTGGCAGGGATGGGGCAACTGCCTGCCTGTCTTTGGGGGTTCTCCTTGGGGTGCTGCTGAGGGGCTGCAGAGAGGAACCCCCCCCCCCAAAGTCTAGCACCAGGCTGTGGCCAGGAACGATCCTTTCCCACTTCCTCGCCTTGGTGGCTCTGCTTTGCTGGGTGCAGCCGCTAAAGTCCCTGCTTAGTGGTGTTAACAAACTGATTTTGGAGGGGTGAGGGATGATCTCATTTATTTATTTATTTATTTCAGTAATGATTGGATTCTAGTGACAGCTGACATGTTCTAGAAAAGTTGTGAGAATTTCATTGCAGAAAAGATTTTGGCTTTTTTACTGAGTATGAGGAGGGAAGTGCCGGCAGGGCATCCATCAGCCACATCAGCTGTGAGACAGGGGGCCCAAGCAGGCAGCCTGTGGAGCCCCAAGGGCTGCTAGGAGAGGGCTCGTTGGTGGCCCTTTGGCATTTGCCTTTGGAGGGGCTGGGAAACATCGCTCCTTGGCTACCGGGGGTCCCTGAGTTCACGGCTGGCCGAGGGCTTTGGGGAGTCTCTGCCCAAAGCACCCGTATCTTCCCCAAGTTGGGCTTGTTTTAAGAAAGGGTTGCTCCTGTTTCCTTTCTCCCTGGCAGCACCTTCGGCATTTCCTGGCTGGGCAGAGCTTGACCTCTGTGAAGCGGGCCTTCACTTTTGAAGGGGATTTGTGCCTGGGGGGGGCAGCAGCCCCAAGGGGCCAAAGCCACAATGGCCATGCCAGAAACACTTCCAAGCGTTGGTCCTTGTGGCCACGGAGCCCCTGCTTGCAGAATGTTCCAGAGACGATCTCGGAATGGCTCGGCCCCAACAAAGGGACTGGAGGCCAGGAAGCGGGCGGTTTCCCCTTCTCTGGGCTGGCGCAGAAAGCTGTCTGCGGTTCCTGCCTGTGGCTGGAGGGGGGGGGGTCTCCGGCAGGGGCAGGGACAGGGGGCCTGGGTCTCACCTGTAGAGTTGTTGGGGGAGAGGAGAGAAGGAAGCAAAGGCACCACTGAGAGGGGGGAGGCACAGGTATCAGGAGGTGCAGCAGTTATAAGAGTCTGGAAACACTGCTTTTGGGAAGCTGGCTGAGGGATCTCAGGATCTGTCATCCTGAAAAGTAACTTTTCCAAACTTTGGGCCCCTTGGATCTGGGCGAGGGGCTCCCACCCCTGCCCTGTACAAAGTAGGGTATGGCACTTGGTTCGACCCTTTGCCCTCCCCGATCCACATCTTTGCCTGCAAATGTGGGGTTTAGTTGCAAAACGTGGCAGTGACTGACACTGAGACTAGAAAGCAGGATCTCACCCGCTTCCCCCTTCTGTGCAGAAAAGCAGGCTGGGCAAGCCACTGTCCTAGCAAGGGGACCCTGGAAGGAGGCAGGCAGGCCGGTAGCCAGCTAGCTCAAGGGCAGCAGGCTGCTTGCATGACACACAGCTTTCCCTTCTGTCACCTCCATACCTC